AGCAGAGTACCAGTCAAGAAAAAAATCGAACAAATTACAATTCTGTGCATTAACATGAAATTTTAAAAAACTATATAATGATGAGCTAAACAAGCAAGACACATAGTATATATAATATATAATGAGTCCAACTGTAGAAAGTTTAAAAACAGGCAACCTAAACAATGTTGTTTAGGGATACATAGGAGGTAGAAAGCCATACGGAAGAGTAAAGTGATGCACCAGGTGTGGTGGTGCACCTGTAGTCCCAGCTACTTAGGAGGCTAAGGCAGGAGGATGGCTTGAGCCCAGGAGTTTGAAAGCAGGCTAGGCAACACTGGGAACTGGGAGTATAGCTCAGTGATAGAGTGCTTGCATAGTGTATGCACGAGGCCCTGGGTTCTATCTTTAATAACTTCCCACCAAATGTAGGGGCTCATGGCTTTGAAGATACTTGAAAGGCTTTCATTGAACTGACCTGAGTGCTTGACATACAGGAGTTTATTTTATTATTATTATTTTGTTTTGTTTTGGAGACAGGGTCTCACTATGTAGCCCAAGCTGGCCTGGAACTTGCAATCTTCTTGCCTCAGCCTCACAAATGCTGGCATTACAGGTGTGTATCACCATACCCGGCTTCTTTTATTATTTTTTACACTGTATATATGCATGTCGCATACTATTCCATATCTATTACACATTGTACACAAGAAAAATGGGGTGGTGTGTGGTCCTGCCCTTTTCCATCCAGCCCCCTTTCTGTCCCCAGCTGGCAGAGGAGGGGCTAAGAGTCCCTTGTAACAGCTTTCTTCAGTTTCTGACTGGGTCAGAAGAATATGGGCAGTGGGGGTGGGGTGGGGGGTGTGAAGGCCTCCCTTCTGCAGCTGGGCCCTGATTACTCCAGGGTGGGAAGGCCTGGGGAGAGCAAGGCCAGGCGAAGCCGGCTGGCCCTGCTGTTTGTGCCAACTCTGGGATTAGGCTGGGGCTCTGGCCCACCTGTTATTTCACTCATTCAGCCTGAGCCTTGCCACTGAGCTCTTACTGCAAGCACTGGGTGCTGTTGTAGGGCCAGAGAAGTGGAAGATGGTCTTTTTGTGTTGAGACAAGGTCTTGCTATGTAGCCCAGGCTGGTCTCAAACTGGAGATCTTCCTGCCTCCACCTCCTGAGTGTTGGGATTACAGGTGTGCACTACCTCACCCAGAGGGAGATGGTCATTACCAGAGGTGATCATGAACACAAATAACTATGGTACCAGCAAAATGTAAGTTAAGTGTATGTGACTATTCATCCACTCTTTCAATAAACATTTGAAAGAGTTGAACACCACTTCCTTGTCAGAAACTGCTGGGTGGTGATTGTATAAAAACAGTGAAATACAGTCTTAGCCCTGAAGTTCACAGTCTAATGAAGGGAAAACAGACACATATGAAATAACAAAATAAATACAACCGTGTGGCAAGCCTATTGATGCAAGGATGCTGAGGGAGGACAGTGACCCATTCAGGATGCATGAGGTAGGGAGAGGAATAGGGAAAAGTTGGGGAGGGGAGGTCTTCCAGAAGGAGCTCTAGACCTCATGAGGCTTGCACATGCCCAGGGTGGGGTGAGGGGGTGAGCATGGCAAGGAGGTCTACTTGCAACAAGAACACACATGTCCAGCAGAGAGGGAGGGAGCAGTAAGAGGGGGAAGGTCAAGGTGGATCAGAATCATATTTGCCTTTCAAATCCTTAGATGTTGTTGTTCTTCCCCTTCTCTTTCTTTTCTTTTTTTTTTTTTTTCTTTTTGGTGGTACTGTCATTTGAACTCAGGGCCTCAGGCTTGCTAGGCAGGTGCCATTTGAGCCACTCTGCCAGCCCTTTTTGTAATGGGTTTTTTCAAGATAAGGTCTCACAAAGTATTTGCCTGGGCTGCATTTGAACATCGATCTTTTGATTGCTGCCTCCTGAGTAGCCAGAATTACAGGCGTGAGCCACCGGTGCCCGACTTGTCTTGGGAATTTTCGAAAGACAGTTTTGAAAACTATTTCCCTGGGCTGGCTTTGAACTTTAGTCCTCTTGATCTCTGCCTTTAGAGAAACTAGGATTACAGGTGTGAGCCACTGGCTTGCTTGCTTGCTTGCTTCCTTCCTCCCTTCCTCTCTGTGTTGCCCACACAAACTCCTAAAGTGATTCTCTGCCTCAGTTTCCCGCAGTAGCTAGGAATATGGCATGTGCCACTGTATCCAGCTAAACCCTTAGATCTTAAATGTGCTGGGATCCACTGAAGGGGTTAGGAGGGAGCTTGCTACTTCCTTTGGTCAGTATAGAGAAAGGGTGAGAGGCCTGGACTGGAAGGAGGCAATTGGCAGAATATTATGGATCCAAGAAATATTTAGGAGGCACCACCAGTTTAGCCTCTGTCTGAGAGTGAGTGGTGGGAGCAGGAGGAAGCAAATTCCAGAGCAGGTCCTTGGTGGAAGGACCAGGTGGAGCACAGGGGAGGACAGCTGCTGCACTGGGGGAGTGTGGCTCTGGGTTTTGGGCTCTGATGTTCTTGCTGAATGTGGCCAGGAGTAGAACTCTGCTCCACCTCATCCAGGGCTTTAAATGCCTGCCTGTGAGCAGGGATGGTCTGAGGAAATGAAAAATACGGCCTGTAATGAGAGTGCCATAAATCACATTTATGCACTTTAAAGAAGTAGCCTTAGAAATACCTACAATTCAATCAATCAATAAGTAAGCACAGTTCTTAGAAACATGAATTACCAAAAGAAATCACTTACAGACTTCAAAGTGGTTTTGTCCTGGAGTGGGAATGGGGTAGAAGAGACAGGAGACAGGTCTTTCTTTTTAATAAGCCTTTTGAGGTGATTATATTTTTAAAACCATGAACAGAAGGCATATACATAGATCCAAAAATAATACGACACTGGCCTTTGTTCTAGGTAGGTTTGTGTCCTTTTAACTTTTTAACTGTTAGAAATGGCATTTGTCGTTTGAAATGAGAGTGACAGCACATAGCCCTTCCCCCTTTTCATGGCCTCCTTTAGTAAAATACATGCTGTTGATCTCTGTGTTCTAAAATTCCAGTCTGGAAGCCACGCATCCAAATCCGGTTGGCGAAGTGCGGCGTGCTCCGCGCGCCTGCGAGCCCGCGTGCGGCCGGCAGGGGTCAGGCGAGCTCCACGCAGCGCCCGAGCGGGTCCCGCGGGTCGGTGCTGCGCTGTGCTGCTCGCGGCGCCTCGGGGGAGGAAAGAGGGAGGACACTGGACCAGCCCTAGGCTGAGGGTCGTGACCGACGGCCACCCATGTCCTGGATCCCAGCTCCCGCCCGGAGAGAGCGGGCGGCGCCCCTCCCCAGCCCGCACGCCACTACTTTACACCGACCCTGGCTCCACCCAGTGTCGCCGGCGCCTGGGCGTGGCCTGTTCCCTCGGTCCCTTGGTTCGGGGACCCCGGGACAACGCTCCTTGTGGGTCTGCAAGCGGGGCGGGAAGCAACCTAGCTTCCCGCACCAGGATGAGCCCAAAGGTCTAGGAGCTGATGTGCGAAACGAGACAACATAGTTCCATAGGTGAGGGATTGCTGTCTCTAGATGGCACCTGGTGTGAGGACTCAGGTCTCGAGGAAGTCCCCTCAGGGTGGTTTGTGAAAAGTGGCCTGATCCAGGGTTACCTCCCAGGCGTGATTAGCAGAATCCCAGGTTGCCAGACCACACCTGAACGTGCTGTTGGCCTCAGTGGCCCTCCATTGGGGCGTACGGGCGCTGTGCCTAAAACTGGAGCGGTCCCGGGAAGGAGCGTGGCCGGCAACCCGTTTGGGAGGGTGTGGAGTGCAGGCAGCGAACGCCCAGCAGAACCCGGGGACCCCCTTCCAGTTCTTAGACTACGCTTTTTTTTTTTTTTTTGCAGTCCTGGGGTTTGAACTCAGGGCTTACACCTTGAACCACTCCATCAACCCTTTTTTGTGATGGGTTTTTTCGAGATAGGGTCTGGAGAACTATTTGCCGGGGCTGGCTTGGAACCTCCTGATCTCTGCCTGCTGAATAGCTAGGGTTACAGGCGTGAACCATGGGCACCCCGGTTGGTTTTACTTTTATACATTCCTCCTGCACAAGCGTGGCTCTGGGTTCTGGGCACCGATGTGCTTCACATAAGGGTCAAGAGGTCAATCAGGTTTTTAGTTTGCTCTGTCACTGTTACTCAGTAGGACAGCCTTGATGATTTATAGATTTAGCTCAAGGTTCTGGAGGCTGAAATCCAAGTCAGGCACCAGCACCTAGCCAGTCTTTTTGCTGCATCCTAACGTGGTGGGGGTTGGGGGGTTCACCTGACAGAGCAGGGATGCCAGCTTCAATCCCCCCTTAGAAATCCACCTAGTACTACAAAGATCCCATCCTCAGATACTTACTGACATACAACTGGAGATTAAAGTTTTAATACATGAACTTCTGGGAGACACACCCCAAGTGGGCAGGGTTCCAGCCAACAGGGACAGATGACACATAGCATTCTGTTATGCTTTCAGTGTCCCCAAACTGGTCATTCCAGGTACATGTTTTAGCTACATTCATGAGCATCGAATGGGGCAGGAAGATGAAGTTAAGCGACAGCCAGGAGCCCCAGGTCTTGCCCTGAAGATGGGTCTGGACTAGGGTTGGCCAGGAGCTAACCCCATCTGTCTCAAGCCTCAGGCTGGAAACAGCACTTGGCTATAGGCCAGAACCAAAAGCCAGTAACAGATGCTGCTGGGCTGAGAGCCAAGAAAACCAGGTTGTCTTGTGGGAATGTACAATTGGTGGAGCAACTGAGACCTGTCCCTCTCAGACCCTGTACTACCGATGAAGCTGTATAGTGGGACCCCAGGCTGAATTCTTTGAACCCCCCCCCCCATTTCTGTGGCTAGCACATCTGGATCCTAGCTCCGGTTATGACCTTGAAAAAGTCAAGTGGTCTTTAAAAAAAAAAAATGAAAACAAAACAAAAACTCATAGATGTGCTGGGTGTGGTGGTTCACACCTGTAATCCCAGCACTTTGGGAGGAGGATAGTGAGTTCAAGGCCAGCCTGGGCTACATAGTGAGACCATGTCTCAAAAACAAACTCAGGGATAACTTCTAGAAACTTATAAGGTTCTTTCTAAGTCCAAGATCCTTCTTTTAAAAATCAGTGAGAGAGGGCTGGGGTGTAGCTTGCCTAGCATGCTAAAGGCCCTTGGTTCAACTCCCAGCACGACCCCCCCAAAAAAACAAGAAAAAGTCACTGCAAGATTTGGGAAAGGGAGCTGAGATTTACCCTATACTAAGATTATTTCTACCCTCCTGTCTCATTACCAAAGAGGAGGCTGGAGGGCAAAATAGGACCTGGGCACTATCCCAGGAGTGCTGGATGAGCAGGCGGCAGTGACGGGTGGACAGCTTCTGCACAAAGCTGCATCAGGAGCAGATAAATGGGCTTGCTTCACAATACGTTTAATACAAAATGGCAGCCGCTGGCTGTTGTAACAAAATTAGCCATAGGGTGTCTAGAGAAATGTACACAGGCAGCCTTGACTGGAGATGTGCCCGGCACCCAGACCAGCTTAGGCAGGGCCTGTGCCCACTGTCCAGTCAGCTGTTGGAGGTCACATGATCAGGACCAGCTGGTGCCCATGGCAAGGTGGTCCAGAAGGGAGGTTAGTGTGAGATAATTCTCCACAACCACACTGCCCATGCCCCACCATTGCCTCTGACACACAGGTGTTTGCAAGCTGTGTGTGGGGGGTAGGGTCCGGAGGTGTGTTATTTAGCTTTTTTCCCCTAGAAAAGAGTCTGCCAAGTTTGAGTAAAGGGAGCGAGGCGAGGCTTCTGCTGTTCTTGAGCAGAGGGCTCCCTGACAGGGACTCACCCAAGAAAATGGGTGGCCACCTGCAGGACCCCACGTGCCACTCCAAGAGGGTGGCAACATCAGATTCCAAAGTTGGAGAGCAAGGACACAGTCACCAGCCCTCCCAGCAACCCACAGAAAAGCCAAAACGCTTCCTGCAGAGTCCATGGTAGGTTAAGCTTTCCTGGCTGGCTGGCTGGCCCGGCTGTGAGACCACAGTCTTGGTGGCTGGCTTGAAGAACTCAGCCTCAGGCAGAGGCCAGAGGGTGATGCAAGAAGGGCAGCTGAGCAGCAGGCCTGTCTCAGACAGGTGAGAGGGCTGCCGCGCCTCTGCTTCCAAAGAAGGCCTCTAGGAGCTGTGACCAGGGGGTGTCAGGTCTTGGGGCTAGTGGAATTCTGCATTGAAAGCTCTGCCGATGACTAGCCGCCTCACCTCACTGGTCCCAGCCCCGATCTCATACAGCTTGGCATCTCGAAGAAAGCGGCCCATGGGAAAGTCGTTGATGTAGCCATTGCCACCTGCAACCAGGGTGTGGGTAGAGAAGAAGGGACAACAGAAGTGATGGGCAGTGGAAAAAGAACAGAAAGCAAATGGAAGGCTAAGCAGTCACCCCTCACTGCCTTCAGGGGCTGGTTCCAGGACCACCCCCCACCACAGATACCCAACCAAAACCGTGGATGTTCAAGTCCCTTACATAAATAGGTGAAGCATTTGCTATAGCCTGTGCACACCCTCCATATACTGTTCTTGTCTTTGCAGTGCTGGGGATCAAACCCAGGGCCTCACACATGCTAGGCAAGTGCTCTTATCACTGAGCTATAGCCCTAATCTATACTTTAAGTTATCCCTAGTTTACTTATAATACCTAATGCAATGTATTTAAAGCCACTTAAATTGTTGTTATACTGTATTGTTTAGGGAATAATGACAAGAAAAAAGTCTACGCTCAGTACAATTTTCTTTGTTTCTTTTTTTTTTTTTGGTTTTGGTTTTGGTCTTTTTTGAGAGAGGGTCTTACTATATAGCCAGCCCCACCTCAGCCTCCCAAGTGCTGGGGTTACAGGCATACACTACCAATGACTGGCCTTTTCTGAATAATTTCAATCTGAGGTGGTTGAATCCATGATGCAGAACCCCTGACTATGAAGGGTAGATTGTGTAGAGAAATAGGCAATGAGCAGAGGGACTGATTAAGGAGAAGCAAAAGTAGTGAGAGGTGGGGCTTGGCCAGTACTTGGGGGTAGTGGGGTGGCAGGGAAGGTGTTGGGTCTGGAAGGCCACCCAGAGTGCCGAGGACACCAGGCAAAGAAAGTGCAGAACCACTGGTAGACATCGACAGGGGAAAAGCAGAGAGCGGATTGCAGAGCTAGGATTCCAGCCTAAGCCATGTGGCTCAATTCTGTGTCCTTAATCACTGCTTGGCTGTTCTACCTGAGGCAACTCTTTCCACATTTCTAGCATCCATAGAGCAGGTGGGGAGGATGACAGGGAATTGCTGAAGGCTGGAACGTCTGGGACATTAGCAGTTTTCCCATTCCCTTCTAACTGGTGCAGACAGAACCTAGAGGGGCCACCTGGGTGTGGCCAGCTTAAGCAAGGAGTAGAGACAGGCCCTAAAAATGGGGAGAGGGTGCCACTCACCCAAACACTGAATACCATCCAGGGCAACCTGTGTGGCACACTCAGCTGAGTAAAGAATCACACCGGCACAGTCCTGTGGGAGGAGGCTTGGCTCAGCAGGGCCCTGCCAGGCATGCAGGAGCCAGTAACAGCAGACCGCTCACTGCCCCACCTCTCCTTCCTTGGGAGCTGACTCTCACCTTGGCAGTGCAGTGTCCTTCATCGCAGGCCTTGGCAACGTTGTAGACGTACTGTCTGGATGACATGAGGCGGATGTACATGTCAGCCATCTTCCCCTGCATCAGCTGGGCGTAAAGGGAGGTCACAAATCAATTAATTAATTACCAAAAGCAGGTCAGCAGCAATGGCTATGGGATAGCCAGGGAGGGGGAAGAAAGGCACAGAGATGAGACAGGATTTGCCTGGGATAACAGAGCTCTGGAGGTTAGGTGGGATAGCCTCTCAACTTCTGCAGCAACTTCAAACCAGAAGGGTCAGATGAGAAGGGCTGCTTCCTCTCTTCCAAGACCCTCACTATCTGCACATTTCAGCCTCACAAGGTCTAGTTCATTCATCTCAAAGAGAAATGCATAGATCAGTGTGATGGACTTTTTTAAAGACTTACAAAGCGAGGCAGCGTGCCAAAGCAGCGGCATAACAATCATTCAAACTCATTGTGCTAGAGAAAGGTGGTAAATGTCCCACGGTGCATATCCTGCTTCCTTATTTTTTTCTTTTTTGATGGTGCTGGGGTTTGAACTCAGAGCTTCATGCTTGCTAAGCAGCAAGCCACTTCACCAGCCCTATCTTTATGAAGAGTTTTTTCAAGATAGGATCTTGCGAACTATTTGTCCAGACTGCCTTCGAATCACAATCCTCCTGACCTCTGCCTCCTGACTAGCTAGGATTACAGGTGTGAGCCACCAGCGCCTGGCTTACTTCCTCATTCTTACAGAAAACTTTAACCCAATGGAAGAAGACATTTTGAGAAAGTAGTCCACTCACCTGGAAGTGGCCAATCTTCTGGCCAAAGGCCTCCCTCACGTGCAGATAGGGAATGGTGTGATCTAGGACAGCCTGCATGATCCTGCAGGAAAGGAAAAAGACACCATAGAGGCGTGTCATTGTCTCGCCACTGTCAAGTGGGGTGGCAGAGTGCCAGAAAGGCCTGCGGGGAGGGAGGGAAGCTTGGCAAGATAAGGAACTGGTGCCACAGGGAGGAGGCAAAGGAGCCTAAGAAACTCTTGTCACCCCTGCCCAGCTGTGGCACTGCCTGCTCAGCACTGTGTCCCGTCCTTTGAGACCACAGGTGGGATTTGCAGGACCTCTACAGTGGGAGTTAGAGACTAGCTTCTCATTTCACACCCACATTGACTAAGCAGAGTTGTTCCTCAGGCCTGTTTGTCATATGATGTCATTTCTCTTCCGTGGAAAAAATTAAACGTATGAGGAGGTTCTTTTTGTCTCAAAGATTTGGAGCACAGAGGCAGGAGGTGGCTCCTGGTGGCTCCCAGTGGCAGGCACTGCTTGGGATGATCCCACCTGCCAAGAAGGCTGCAAGAGTTCAGGTCCCCCAAAGCCTCGCACTTACCCAAGAGCCCCCCCAGCTCCCTCGCGCTTACCCACAGGCTTGCCAGCTCCCCAAAGCCTCGCCAGCTCCCCAAAGCCTCAGACTCACCCAAGGGGCCCGCCTGCCAGCACCAGGCGCTCCAAGTCCAGCCCGCTCATCAGCACGTAGACACCCTTATTCTCATGGCCTAGAGTGTTCTCAGCTGCCGGGATAAACGCTGGTCAGAGGGAGAAGGGCTGTCCACAGCCCCTTCACTTTTATAAAAAGTACTAGGTTTGATGATGTAGCTCTCACATGAGGCACTAAAATGTTACTTGACCTTCAACCAAGGTTCCAGGTGAGAGAAAAGGATCAAGTTTCCCATTTTCAGCCAGAAGTGAAGTTTCCAGGACTCCCACACCATCCACAGCACTAGACACAAAGCCCCAGGTTGTTAGAACTTTCCCCTCTCACCCAGGACTCCCTTGGATGGGAAACGAAGGAAAGCAAATTGGCCTAGAAGTCACCCTATCCTCCCCAGTTCTTCCTACACCTGTCTCTATACAGCATCCAGGGAATGACTCTCCCCCATGTTGTTGGCTGTGCTCCAGTGTCACCTCCCAGCAGGGTGGTCCATGAAAGCTGCTTTGTCCACGAGATGGGCCATTCAGTGCTAGGTGTCAGAAGCTGCTGAGCACCTGTCCTCTTAGGAAGCTAGAACACTGGATGGCTTTGGGAGGTGTGGGCAGGAAAAAGCACAGAAATTTGACACTATTCACCTGTGTTTAGTGCTGCTGGCTGAATTTTTTCCTCTCCACAAAGAAGGTCTGCACAGATTCCCCCTTTCTAGATGCTCCTGTGATCACAGCATACTTTTCTGGGATAGTTTATGGCCGACACACAGAGCAATCCTAACTGGAGACCAGATCCATGGCCTTGGTCTCCTACATGATGGGTGTGCTGGTTTTCCCACAGTGCTACACAGTGTCACATTTTCAGCCACAACTCAGGGACAAAATAATTCTGAAATCAAATCGATTCTCCTTCACCGAGTCTGGCTGCCATCAGTTTATTGAGGTTTTTTGTTTTGTTTTTTTTCTTTTAGCATCATTAACGAGCATAACACAGTGCTGTGGTTTGGATATGAATGTTCCCTGAAGGCTTGTATAGTGAAAGCTTGGCTCCCAATGCAGCAGTGTTCAGAAGCAGGGCTTTGGGAAAGTGACTGGATCATGAGGACTGACCTAATCAATGGATTAATTCACTGATGGATTCATATTTGATAGCATTATTGGGAGGTGATGGGGACTTTCAGAGGTAAGACCTAGTTGAAGGAAATAGGTCACTGGGCATTTTCTTGGGGGGCTATACTTTGTCCCCAGCCCCTTCCTGTCTCTATTTCTGGTTCCTGGACACCCTGGGATGGGCAACTCTGCTTTATCATGTCCTGTCATGATGCTCTGCCTCACCAAAGGCCCAGAAGCAACAGAGCCAGCCCGCCATGGACCGAAACCTGTGAAACTGTGAGCCAAAATAAATTTTTCCTCCTTTGTACTGTTTCTTTCAAGTATTTGTCCTAGTGATAAGTCTGACTAACACACATAGGCTGTCCACGCAAATGTACAGGAAATCCAAAGGACGCTAGTAGGCTAGGGTCTTACCTTTTGCCTCCAGCTCCTATATAGGAACCCCAGGTAGAGTGTGTCACTCACACAGAAGCACCACCCTTCAACTTAGCAGGTCAGGCATACAGCTGCAGGGACTGTGACCAAGGACAGCCATTCAGCAGTCTCATGCCCATAGTCTAGCCACATGTCACAGAGCAGCTAACAATGGTGAGCCTGTAACCAGTTTAAGAAGGGGTCAGGGCAGAGGCTCTCCATTCTCAGAATACTTACCAGGAATCTTGCAGTCTTCAAAGATGAGCTCACAGGTGTTAGAGCCCCTCATCCCCAGCTTGTCTAGCTTCTTGGCAGTGTTGAAGCCAGGCATACCCTTTATAGGAAACCAAAGGAGGCCCTGGTTAGACTTGCCCACCCCGGGGTGAGGTGGGGGGCTACTAAAGGCAAGGCCCCTTACCATTAGCTCCCTGTACCTGCCTGACACACCAGCATCCCACTCTTAAGCACCCACTCCAGATGCAAAACTGCTCCAGCCCTCACACCCATCCTGATCTCAGCCTCCTCTGTGGCTCTCTTGCTTTCTCCCTATTCTCACAGGAGTTCTTTCTCAATGAAACACTCAGTTCCCAGCCCCCTCACTCTTCCCAGATTTGTTCCCCTCTCCCAGGAACATCACTCCCAAGATACTCTCACCAGCCACTCAACTCCTCTGCCTTGTTTTTTTGCCATTTGTCCCTAATGGAGTCCCACCTAGGATGAATTCAACTACCTTTGACCTGGGTGACTTGGATGCCTATATGTGGGCAAGTACCCAACAGAGTGCAGACACCTATTGCACACCCTTTTCTCCCACCCAGACCCTTTTAGCTTCAATCCTAGTCAGTTACTTTCCCTCTGCAGGGTGCTGGGAACTTCTGTGACACCCATTCATTAAACTTCCTCCATGCCCCACTGCTGTGGTCCCCAGCCCTCAAGGGTACTCAGCCTCTTCCTTCACGGTCATCAGGTAGAACCCATCTTTACCCCTACTCAACTTGTAATTGTGTTTTGTCCACTAGTTTTCTCTCTCTTATTTCCTTTCTCTTTATGAAAAATTTGCTGTTTTCCATTCTTTTTCTTTTGTTTTTGTTTTTGGGTGGTACTGGGGTTTGAACTCATGCTTGCTAGGCAGGTACTCTATCACTTGAGTCACTCTGCCAGCCCTTTTTTGTGTTGGATATTATTGATAGGGTCTCGCAGACTATTTGCTGGGACTGACCTCAAACAAACCCTGATCCTTCTGATCTCTGCCTCCCAAGTGGTTAGGATTAAAGACATGTGCCACCAGCGCCCAGCTGTTTTCCATTCTTAAGAAAAACCTGGAACTCCCAAGTTTAATTCTAACTCCTGTTCTATCTCCTCCTTGCTTCATTGTCAAGACTGTAGAAGGGGTGACTTCATCTCCTTTGCCTTCTCGCCCATCTCATCTGACAGTCAAATCTAGTGGTCTCCTTGCAGTAGTCCTCTTCCTGGACTTCTTTGTACAGCCAGACTCTGTGGACAGCTCAACCATCTTCAGTGCTTGGGAATTGAACCCTGGGCCTTGTACATGCGAGGCAAGTGCTTTACTTCTGAGCTACATCTCAGCACTTGACTCAGCTTTTTGGCCACCTCTTTTCAACTTTTCAATCTCCTTTGGTCTCTTGCCTCCCCACCCCACTCCTGCCCCAGGAACAGAGAACACACATGGATCTTACTCTTGATCAGCTGAAAGCAGCTACCTGTTACTATTGCCAGGGGGCAGAAGCCTCTTGGAACCACCCTCCCAACACACACACATCGCCCTCACCTTCTCCACGATGAAGGCTGTGATGCCCCGAGAAGCTGGTCTCACGGCCACATCTGTCTTGGCATAGACCACGAGGACATCAGCGTCAGGGCCATTGGTGATCCAGAACTTGCTGCCATTCAGGACATAATGATCTCCTAAGGGCAGGACACAAGCTACTTGCTCAAGCTGGCTTGGCCTGTCTCAGCCAGTCAGTCCACAGCACTTCTGTGGAGCAAGAAGCTGCCCGGCTGAGAAACCCTGCCGAAGCCCAGCAGAGACGCAACAGTAACTCCTCCACTCTGATCAGGTTTGTCCCTCTGCCCGTTTCCAGCTCCCTAGCTGAAAATGGCCTCACCTTCCTTTTCTGCTTTTAGCTTCATGGAGACAACGTCAGAGCCAGCATTGGGCTCACTCATGGCCAGGGCTCCGATGTGCTCACCGCTGATGAGCTGCAAGGAAAACCAAACGGGCCTTATTATGACCTCGGAAGCACTCACTGATGCTGCCTCCTCCACGCCCTTTCAACTGCTCTCTCAGAGCAAGGTGTTGGTAAAGTCTCGAAGGGAAGCCCAATAGCTACAAAGTGCTTCTCTTCCTTCCGCTCCCTCTTTTATTTTCCCCAGCGCAGGGGATGGAACCCAGAGCTTCACATGCTAGGCAAGCTGCTCTACCACTGAGCCACACCCCCAGCCCTGGGTTGTCTTTCTTTTTTTCTTCTGCCTTTTTTGCTTTTTGCGACACGGTCTTGCCATATTGGCCAGGCTGGACTGAACGTCCTGGGCTCAAATGATGTATGTCTCCATCACTTAAGCAGCTAGGACTATAATATAGCACCACACCTCTAGCCTTCCGTTTCTTAAAGTTCTCTCCAAATGTTGTCTGTTTCCCGTTCAACTGGCCTCTCAACTTTTTGACTCAAGCATCTTCAAGCAACCTAGACCCAAATACCTGGACGGTATTTGGTTTCATGTCACGGAAAGCAAGTCTGAATGGCTTCCACCGACAGAAGGTACCCTGTGCCCTGTGGCTGGTGGCTGTGTTGAAAAAAGCATGGGCTTCTTCACTCCCACTTCCTCACCTTGGGGAGGTATTTCTCCTTCTGGGCTTCGTTCCCGTTGCGCACAATCTGGTTGATGCAAAGGTTGGAGTGGGCACCGTAGCTGAGCCCCACCGATGCGGAAACCCGGGATATCTCCTCCATCACCAGCACTTGTTCCAGATAGCCCAGGCCGGAGCCACCATACTGAACTGAGAGCAGGGCAATGCAGGGGAGTAGGAAGGTGGCCAGGTTAAACTGGGACACTAACTGGCACCTTCACATTAACTGGGGGTGAAGAAACACCCTGGGTGCACGTATTCCACACTCTCCTAGCAAGGCTAACAGGTCACTGCCAGGACTGCTTATGAACCCACAGAACTGGGTTGGCTAGCAACTGCGGGTTGGCTGAACTATGATTCAAAAGACCATCCCTGACAAGTCAAGCTTTATCCCGGACATTGTAAATGAAGGCAAACAAAAACCTGAGCACCCACTATTCTCAAAGTGATAAAAGGACAGAGGCAGATGGGTGAATGGAGTCCAACAGAGAAACACAAAGGGGTGTGTAAAAAGCACCAAAAAGAGATGCAAAGCCAAGGATGTGAACAGGCCTGAGGAAGGTAAGATTTTATAGTGTAGCTTTGGAGCCAAAGAAGTGGCACTGGTCATAGACAGGACAGCCACCACCTGTGGGGACATCAGGAGGTCGGCTATACAGTAGCAAATGCTGACAGGGAATTTTAGAACGCCCCATTAAAAATTAGGACATTTTCCCTGACAGCAGATTCAATATCAAAGTGGCTGGGTTATCTAGTGCTACTCCTTTACCCTCAATGTTTGGGTAAAGCTTGGCAAGGCACTATACACATGTTCACTCTGACCAAGAAATCACACTGCTCCAAGGCTATAAGGAAAGTGTGGCCTGACCACAACTCCAGGAAAGAAAGCACAAGTGCAGTTGACATTAGAAGCAGGCACCAGGGGCCGGACATGGTACATATGCCAATAATCCCAGTGCTTGGGAGGCAGAGGCAGGAGGATCATGAGTTCAAGGCCAGCCTAGGGCTACAATGAATTCCACGCCAGCCTAAGCTACAAATCCAGCTCTGTCTCAAAAGGAAAGAATGAAAGAAAGAGAGGAAAAAAAAGAAAGGAAGAGAAAATAAAAAAGAGAAGGAAATATCTATAGCCACCAGAACCATCACGCAGAAACCAGAACTCATATCTACCTTCAAAAAAAATTTATTTTTGGTGCTTGGGATTAAACCTAGGACCTTGTACATGCTACCAGAGTGTCTTGGCTTTCTTTTAAAAATTCCCCCTTGAAAGGGTTTTATCTGACTGACTTCCTTCCTTTCTTCTTTCCTTCTTTCCCTCCCTCCTTTTCTTCCTAGTGTAGTGCTAGGTATCAAACAGAAAATGGCTTTTTCTTTCTCTTTCTCTCTCTCTTTCCTTTTTTTTTTAACTCACATTTTCACTATACATCTCAGGCTAACCTCAAACTTGCTATGTAGCCTAGTCTGGCCTTGAACTCATGATCCTCCTGCCTCAGTCTCCCCAGTGCCAGGGTTACAAATCATCATTATTCTTTGTTGTTTAGGAAATAATGAGAAGACAAAAGTTCAATCATATTATATTCCTTCCCTACTCTAATGTCCCAAATGAATACAGGCCCAAGTAGGGTGAACTGTCCAGGGTTGGAGAGGGCTGGGGAAGCCAAAGGGCCATTTCTTTATTGTGCACTGCAATCCAGGCTCTGTCTCTCCTTCTGGAAGCCAACACCAGAGCCAGAGCCCACTGGCTCCTAGCCTTCCACCCCTGGACACAGTGGGGACACTGGGCAGACCCAAGAGCCTATTAAACACATCATTTGGTCACCTCACCTGAAGGCCCACACAAACATCCCTGTTACCCACATCTGTCTCCCAGTGAGCTCCACACAGCTCAAGGATAAGGACAAGCTGTAGATAGAGACCTCAGGAAATACCTATAATGGACCTGACCTCCCTGCTTAGAGGACACTAGCTGGACAGAGCTTAGGAAGATAGCAGGAAGACCAAACCACCTGAAGGATGGTTAAGCATGCACACTTCATAGAGTGGGTTCAGTCACCAGCACCAAAAAAAGCCAAAAAGCATGCAGAGTTTAAAAGACCAAGTGATCCTAACGGAAAAAGAAACAAACAAAAAAATAGACCAAAAGAAAGAGTCCAAGTGGATCAGGATTCATTGGCCTGATCCCTTTGCCTCCTCAACATCACTAAAGATACAGAATAATATCTTCTTCTCTGGGCTCACAGTCAGAAGGTGCTTTCTCAGGTTCAAGAGTGAGGAGGCTCTGGGTGTTTTTCCCCTCCCTTTTTAATTTCTTTTGGGACTATGCTAAAGGGCACACAAGGAAAGTTCTCGTTAGGGAAAGAAGCTATACTCACCAGGGGCCGTGACGCCCAACACACCTAAGCTTCCCAGCTGCTTCCAAAACTCCTGCCAACAGAGTGGAATGGAGGGAGTTGTGAGAAAGCAGCCAGCCACATATGGCTGCAACAAGACAAATGCTTCAGAGAAAGGAGCTGCATTCTCACCGGGAGATGGAGGGAGCCTTTCCAGGCAACAATGCAACTCAGCCCCTTCCCAGCTGTCCCTGCCCCAGCCTCCGACTCACTCTCAAGTTCTTGAACTCGTTGCTCTGATCGATCTCCTGGGCCTGGGGAACCAGGTGCTCCTGAAGGAACTTAGCCAAAGTCTGGCGAAGCTAGAGGGAGAGAGGTAGACAGATACATACCGCTGAAACCAAGGCATTATCACCACCGAGAGCACTGTCCCCGTTATGGAAGGCATATTCTGGGAACCATGCCACAAGTAACCTCAAGACAGAAGCTTAGAGGCCCCCCTACTTTATGATTCCTTAGAGAAGCTCTTTACCTTTCTTCCTCAAGATCCTAAGTGTAGTCAGCTTGAAGATGATTTTTATGACTTTATTTGTTTTGAGGCTGGGTTTCACCATATTGCCCAGGCTGACCTTGAACTCCTGGGTTCAAGTGATCTTCCTTCCTGAGCCTCAGCCTCCCGGGTATTGAAGATGATCTTTAAAATGCTGCCCACCTACATAAAATCATTCCATACCTTCCCACCATACTCAAAATCAAAACAAGCTCCTTACCCAGGCCTATAAAGCCCTGTGTCAGCTGTCTCCACTAGGCATTCCAGCCTTTCCTGTCCCTTTCTACCTTCCACTCACTGTGCTCCAGCTCCACCCACTTCAGTTCAGGGCACATGTCCTGGGCCTTTGACAAAAAGAGATCACTCAATGGATTATAAACTCCCAGAACTGAACCCTAGGAAATCTAGGATTGAAGCCCTAGTATTCAGAGAAGCTCTCTGCTGTCTAAACATCCAAATTCTTTGGAGTTTCTGGGAGGCTATGCAACACTCCTAGAGTTACCCGACAATCACATTCCTGGGCATTCCTCTAGCCTTGCTCTAGGAAGGGATCTGGTTCAGTTCCATTTGTAATCATGTCTGCCTCTCTTTTTCCTTTCCTTCCTTTCCCCCCTTCCCTTTCCTTTCCTTCTCTTTCTTTCTTTCTTTCATTCTTTCTTTCCCTTCTTTCTTTCTCTTCACCTTCAAAATCATCTTTAGTTGGTTGCAAGAATACAATTAGGTTACTTGTTCCCATTTGGACAAATGTTAAACACCACCTTCACTACTAAATTGCTATATAGGAACATTATAAAATACAAACTATAAACGAAGATAACCTTTCCAGTGTTCAGATTAGTGCATTAAAACAATATTGATTTAAAAAGGCAAGTGAGTTAATTGGCAAATATCCAATTCCTTTATTTATGGTACAAAATGGTACTCAACATAAGCACTAAATTTTGTTAGGTTCTCAAAATCAGTATTGTGGGAAAGTTATGCCCTAAAAATAAGTCTGACCCAAAGATACACATGTAATCATTATTCCATACAACATGAGAGAAAGTAAATAATGGGCCACAAAAGCAGATAGTATTGTTAAGATGGTTTAGTGGAGTAAGTTGGGGTCTTTAGAATCTAAACAGAATACATATTGGCACCAGATAGTTCCAGATCATGTTAAACAATTATCGTAACTACTTTCCCTAGTAAACACCAGACTTAAATAGACTATATGGAAAAGCAATCTATGCCTGATATTTTTACGAGGCAATCTATAACAAACGTTTAATATATACATAAGATACCAGGACATTTGCATTGATTTTACGCAGAGAAAATAATGGTCTTAAAATCCAACAATAAAAGTGAAATAGATAATCTGTAATCACATCTTTCAAGTTTTTGTTCAATTTTGTGCTTTGGATCTGATAAGCTAAAGAATGATAGCAAAAGGCACGGTGCATTTCACAATTCCTTTAGTGTTTATTAAAGAAATATTCCCTGGTGATTATGACGATCAACTAGGTTTGAGAGCCATCGTCTTAGACGGGGTTCAAGTATAAATGGACTACGTACAGATGAAGGCCACAAGCGGTAGCCACCACCGATCCTCCACTAAAACACCAGCAGCCTTCCAAGAGCTTTCTTCCTTGACTCCTCCGATCTCCCTCTGGCAGCACTGTATTGCTGCTAACGCTTACAGATCTTTCCTCATAGAGGCGAGGATGAGGCCAGAGGCCCAAAGGCGGCAGGTCCAGTTTCCCGTCCTCGCCCCCGAGTGACGGGTGCACCTTATGCAAGTCGCATTAGGAGGGGACGCCGGACAGTAGGCCTTGGGGCCTCGAAAAGGGCCAGGAAGGGACTCCGTCTCCCTACCTGCTTCTGCTCCTCGCTGAGCCCGTTGATCGCATCGTCCACAGTCAACTGCGAGTGGGCACGGTGAGAAACCGGATCAGCGAGTGGCAGCCGCCGCGGCTGCAGCCTCCAGCTTAACACACGCCGCCCCAGCAGCCGAATCGCAATCGCCATCTCTTCCTTCACCCGCAGCTGGAGCTGCAACTGAGCCATCCTTTCCGGTTCTTCCAATCGGGTCACCGCCCTGGCCAATCGGCGAGGGGGCGTGTCCCCAGCGGCCAATCGCGTGCGGCAGCTGGTGGAAGGCTGCGATGCCCTTGGCAGCCAAGCCAGCCAATCAGCAGTGAGCGCCGGCATCAAACCCCTCTGCTGCTGGGTAAGCGTGCTTTCCGCGGCTGCCGGAGCTGGCGTCTTCCGTAGGCGAAATGCTTGTGGGTGGAAGAGCAAGGCAATTGTCTTCTGAGTCAATAATATAGTAGCTCCTTATGTTGAAATAGCGGGCTGTAACTGCAGAAGTCTATCTCCATGAGAAAGCAAAGTATTAAAACAGAAAACTGCCCAAATGCCCTGCCACTATCGATCAACAAGCCAGCGGGAGCTAAGATTGGGAAAGCCGCGGTGGTTGGAGCGTGCACGTTGTTGCGGCTCAGTAGTTTGCTTTATTATATTATCATGTAACAGGGTTTGTTGGCTTTGAGTCGTGTTTTGTGGGAAAGAGGTTAAAGAGTGAGTGCTCCTCAAATCAAGGAGGGCAAGGACCGCGGTCAGGAGTTTCCTCGTTATGGTTGGTTTTTTCCCTCTGGGGGTGGGAGTGCAGGAAGGAAAGGGGAAAGAAGGGCTTCTTCCGCTTTCCCCCTTTGCACGGTTTTCCTCCTCCGTGATGAGGCAGTGCCCGTGAACAGCTCATCTCAGGTGGGGTAGCGTCCTGAGTCCGGGAGTGAAGCCTTGCAGTGCCGTTATCCAGCTGTGGGACGGTGGAAAAGTCTTTGAGATCCTTTCAGTCTCTTATCATCTGTAAATTGAAACCAGCACCGCCCGCCTCAAAGCTAGTAGGAGGAATGAAAGAAACGTCACCTTTGGGCCCAGGAAGCGTAGCTCAGTGGCAAAGTATGTGCTTAGTATGCCCGAGGCCCTGGGCCAATCCCCTGTACCTGAAATGAAAAAAAATGAAATAAAACAACTTAATTATTTAGTGCGGTACTCAGCTCAGTGTTGTCTTTTTAACCATCTCTATCACTTTTACCCCACACTCTCTCCCCAGCTTCTAACTTACCTCCTACTCATAATTTGAAAGTTCTGCAGCCTGGAGTCAGTGGCTTACATCTGCAACCCTAGCTACTTGGGAAGCTGAGATCGGGAGGATCTTGGTTCAAGGCCAGCCCAGGGAAATAGTTCTCAAGATCACGTCTCAAAAAAAAAAAAAAACCAGAGCAAAATGGACTGGAGTATGGCTCAAATGGTAGAACACCTACTTTGCAAATATGAAGACGTGAGTTCAAACACCAGTCCCACCAAAACAAAACAGTTTTGAACTCTTGGACTTCCCTAGTGAGAACTCGACGACCAATTGCAAAACATTGCACCTCTGGTTCAAATTAATCTTTTAGATATTTTGAGATTGTCCTTGAAAACTGTGTGTGTGTGTGTGTGTATAAAGGCTGTGATTCAGCATCTTGACAGTTTTCCTAAGACTTCCCTCTGCAAAAATAAACAAACCTAGGCTGTGTGCCAGTGGCTCATGCCTATAATCCTAGCTATTCAGGAGGCAGAGATCAGGAAGATTGCAGTTCAAGGCCAGCTGGCCAACAAAAGCAAGACCCTATGTTGAACATAACCAACACAGAAAAGGGTTGGCAGAGTTGGCTCAAGTGGTAGGTAGAGCGCCTGCCTAGCAAGTGTGAGGCCCTGAGTTCAAACCCCAGTACTGCCAAAAAAAAAAAAGAAAGAAAAAGAGAGAGCTGAAGGCATAGCTCAGTGGGTAGAGTATGTTTTAGCATGTATGGGGATTTAAGTCCTATGTCTAATACCGTATGCACACACAATAGCAAATTAAAACCTGAAATATATTTGGGAAGGAAAGAATAATAAATGTTTGAGTAGATATTATGAGATAGAAAACAGATGTATAATAAGAAAGTAAATAGAAGAGCTGGGATGCCCTGCTGCTTAATCAGTGCAAGGCTCTGAGTTCAAACTCTAGTACTGAAAAAAAACTGAATCCAATATTACACAAAAAAGATAATAGTTGCTGGGGTGCTGGTGGCTCACACCTATAATCCTAGCTACTCAGGAGGCAAAGATCAGGAGGATCTCTGTTCAAGGTCAGCCTGGGCAAATAGTTTGAGAAACTATCTCAAAAATACTCAGTACACAAAAAGGCTGGTAGAGGGGCTCAAGTAGTAGAGCGCCTGCCTAGCAAGCATGAGGCCCTGAATTCAAACCCCAGTACCACCAAAAATAAAAGACAGTAGTCAACTTTGATAAAAGAAAAGTTCTGAGATATCCAGAATGTAATTTCAAAGGACATGAGGAGGAAGGGGAAGAGAGAAAGTAAGTTAATCAGTAAAAAGTTGCAGGCAAAACCAACAAAGATAACTTATGTTGAAACCTTAACTTAAAACCCATCCCAGCCCACTTTTGTAAGACCTATTTGTATATATTATAATATATATTTATATATATGTTTATTCATTAAGAGAGATGGCTGGGATGAAGCACACTAGATATTAAAGGTGCTTATTTCTGATTAGCACTTTCTTTTGGAATGATTTAAAAACTTTTTATAATTTTGTTTCCTTCTTCAATAAACACTAATTTTGTTTTTTTGCAAGGAAAAATGAACAAACCACAGCTGACCACCAGCTTTGACTGGCCTTGAACCTGGATCCTTCTGATCTTTGCCTTCCAAGTAGCTGAGATTATACATATGAGCCACCATGCCTGGCTTGTTTTTTGAAAGAAGTGGGCCTCATACTTGAAATTTTCCAGCATCAGCCTCCTGGCGCTGAGATGACAGGTGTGACCACTACAAAACTTTTTATTGCAGTGATGCCTTGCTCTCGAGAATTTTGATTTAGGGGCCAATAGGGTGGCTCAAGTGGTAAAGCACCTACCTAGCAAGTGTAACGCCCTGACTTCAAACCCCAGTACTGCCAAAAAACAAAACAAAACAAGAAACCACACACAAACACACACACACACACACACACACAACGAAGAAGCTTTGATTCAGGTGTGGTGGTTTGTAATCTCAGCACTCAGAAGGCAGAAGCAGGAGGACTGTAAGTTCAATATTTGTGGGCCACAAATTGAGATCTCTCTCTCAAAAAAGTTTTGAGCCTGGCATGATGGTGCAAAGCTGTAATCCCAAGTATAAATCTAAACCCCATTATTTGGGAAACAGAAGGACCGTAAGTTCAAGGCTAGACTGGGCTACCTAGGAAAACTCTGTCAGAAGAACTAAATCAAATCAAATCAAATAGTAAACTAAGTGTTAGTGTGAGTTCCATAGGACATCCTAGAAAATTAACTGAACCCGATGAGAGTGAGAACCTTCATTTTCAGCTGTAAGTCAGGATAGGTGACAGCTGCTACTTGTGACACCTGAAGTAGGCAGACAGTGTTAGACAGAGCTCTTAATCTGTGGGTCTGAGTGAAACTCAGGTAGAGTGTTTCCATTGAGAATGACAGGAGCTCAGTTCATGTCACTAGAGAATTGGTTTAGGAAGACCCCCCACCCACCATGTCTTGTTCCAGTAGTGTTTCTGGGTTGAGTGTTGCCCTGAATGTTGGTAGATCAGATAAATAACTTAGATCCAGCTTGGGGACTTGGAACTTTAGCCTGAGTGACTCCATTTTGATTTTTATCTAATCTGTGCTACAATGGCCACTTGTAATTTTAGCAGACAGACACTTTACCATTTGAGCCCCTCCACCAGGCCTCCCACTTGTAATTTTTATTCAACAATTAGCAGACTTACTTGGGGCATTAGCGTTGCTTGCAGTTCCCATTGTTTTGGGCATATGGTCTGAACACATGGGTCATAGACTTCTGTGTTCTCATGGTCATTTTTCATTAAGTTTTTGTCATTCCAGCTGAAGAGAGGCCATTTTACATTGCTGGATGCAAACATTTAAAACATTTTGAAAGAATACAGCCCTCCAGGAAGACTACTATTATGACTTTAGGAGGACAAAACGAAGGCTATGGAGTATGCCCTTCCTACTGCTTGGATTTTTTGGGTGCATGTTAATTATACAGAATAATGGGTTTTATTAGATATTTTCATACATACATATTATGTGCTTGGAACATAATCACCCCCTTTTTCCTCTCTTAGCCTCTCCTCCCTTCCCCTTCCTCTTCCCTCATGGGCTCCTTTCTTGTTCCCCTACTCTGAAACGGAAAAAGGACCCTGTCTGAGGCAAAGACAGCTAACAGATTTGGTATCACAGGTGGGATGTGGCCCAAAGAGCCAGGCTCCCCACCAAAGTGCCATTTCTTGTGAAGAAGAAAGCCACCACTCAGCAGTGATGGAACATTTGGGAGTTGATTTCGGGGAGTTTTAATATCCACTGTAAGTAAGACATGGAATTGGTGATGCCCACTCTGGGGGGCCTTGCTTCTGGGAGGTTGAGAGAAATCGCTGCTGCAAACTTTGGGCTATTGACAGGAACCTGGGAGCCGGTAGTCCTGTGAGGACCTTTCTGGAATCTTCCAGCATCAGGATTGGGCTTGGTAATGGCTGTTTGAGGTAGAGGTTAGGAAACTGATGAGTGGAGAATAATGGCTTGGATGTTGATAGAATCCATATCCCACGGCCGATGGCAACGAAAGAACTCCTGACAGGTGCCTGCATCTTGTTGCTAGAAGGCCTCAGGACCTACAGAGAATGGGAGATTCTGGTTTTCCCCATCCAGTGTGTGGGAGGAACTAATGACACCTAACCCTGTTTCCATGACAATCTTTCTGTTTCCCAGGAATGACCACCCCCATGTCCATGAGCCCCAATAAAAGCTCCATGTCTTGAGACTCTCAGGGCAGACACTCACTTAGAGCCTGCCCACTCCCCTGCTTTGAGGTCATGCTTTTGGCTTTGCCTTATTAAACCTGATCTCTGATAAGACCAAGAACCTTCTGGCCTGACTAGGTGGTCCTGGCAGCACTGTTATCATGCTTACCTACA